AGCTTCTTCAGCAGGAACACACCCGCTCTATAACATCTCAAACAGAAATCAATTGCGACCAGCCGCCAAATTGTAGTGTCGTTCGCGAAAAGATCTACATGTACATTTTGCACTTCTGATCAGCGTTTTACATCTATTAATTTGTGTGCAAATAAGCACCATTCCACGCGTTTCAAGATAAGAGCAGAGTACAATTTCTTTGAAGGTAAGACTAATCAAGGGTCAAATAGGGTTTCATCAAATAATCCAATGAGTATGATCAATTGTATTGGATAACAAGTTTATGGATAGCTGCATTTTATACATGTATATTACAAAAAAATACATATAAAACTCAAATGAAATAAATCTCTTTATTTTTTTTATTTTTTTATTTATTTATTTATTTTTTATTTTTTTTTCGGGGGGGGGGGGTAACTTTTTTTTCAACTTTTCTCATTTGTTAGAAGTTTCAATTTTGTTATTTCTACCTTACATTAATGACTCCATTTAGCATATTTGGTTTCCTTATCTGTAAATCAATCCTATAGTGTCAGGGCTTCATTTCCCTTATTCTACATCATTTTTCGTAAGAGTGAGAAAATGGTATATTTTTACAGTGCTGAATCCCGGGATTTTTTTATGTTTCTTACTATGCAATAGATGCCAAGACATAAATCCGTTGTCACCCTGAGATGCATGATCCTACTTCTCTGCACTTCATCCGTCATTGGTGAGAGTTAGAATGAATTTAGTCTTTTATTTAAATTTAGTAAGAGCATAATCGCGGGCAAGATACGGTTTCAGGAAATTTTGCTCCATTTCCTTTCGCTTGCCTCTCGTACATGTAAGCACTGTGTATTACTCGTATTATCAGAAGAGAGGTAGCGAACAGTAATCATATGCATCATTACAAAACCATATTTCCCTTTGAAAGTGGCCCGTTTAATAGTTGCAGCCAGGCAGGAATCTTTTGTCTACGTATCTGCAAGAAAGATTTACTTAAGCATATGACTGACATATTCTCTCCTAGCGGCATCGAAGATGGTATAAAGGGAATGAGCTAGATATGACTCCATCTCTTAAAACTCCTTGGTTTCGACGTGTACAGGAGACCTCCGAGCAAAATTTTAGGTTTAATTCCTGGAAAACTTCTGCTGAAAAATAGTTGCAGCCATATTTCAAAATAGTCACCATGATTGTGTATGTAATATTGAGCCGTTTTGAAGATGACCTTTGAACACAACTATAATTTTACTATCCCCCCCCCCCAATATTTCAGGTGGGGGGGGGGGGGGTGGCCTGTACAATCATCCCCCCAATAATTCACCATAAAAAAAAATAATACAGAGAAAAATTAATGATAAGAGCCCGATGAGAGTAGTTAATGGTTATTACTCGCAAGATGACCATCAATATACACATTTTGCTATCTCATTTGCATAATATATACATATATACAAAATAAATGAGACAAGCGTAAATGGGGGAAACTGGATTCAAACAAGGACACGATACAACGAATCGTCTTCCTTCTCTAATAATTTAATGAAACGTGAATGGGCGAAAATGAATATAGACAAGGATTAAGAGTAATAACTTATTGAACCGTCAAAGCTTCCGCGCTTCGCACGGTAGGGTGGAAACTGAATTAAGACAAGGACACGATACAACGAACCGTCTTCTTTCCTAATAATGTAATGAAATGTGGAAGCTTCCGCGCTCCGCGCGGGAATGGGCGAGAATTAATTCAGACAAGGGTTAAGAGTAATAATTAAATGAAACGTCAAAGCCTTCGCGCTTTGCGCGGGAGGGCGGGGGGGGGGGGGTGCACTCAGACAAGGACACGATACAACGAATCGTCTTCTTTCTCTAATAATTTAATGAAACGTGAGAGCGGGATGGGCGAAAATGAATTTAGACAAGGATTAAGAGTAATAATTTATTGAACCGTCAAGGTTTCCGCGCTTTGCGCGGATGGGGGGGGGGGGGGGGAACTGAATTCAAACAAGTACACGATACAACGAATCGTCTTATTTCTCTAATAATTTAATGAAACGTCAGAGCTTCTGCGCTATGCGCGGAGGAAGGGGAACTTGATTTAAACATTAAGGATTAAGAGTCGAGAATGGTACATCGCATCGTCTTCTTTCTTTGATAATCTAATGAAACGTCAGAGCTTCCGCGCTATGCGCGGAGGAAGGGGAACTTGATTCAAACAAGGATTTAGATTCGAGAACGTTCCAACGAATCGTCTTCTTTCTCTAATAATCGAATGAAACGTCAAAGCTTCCGCGCTTTGCGCGGAAGGGGGGGGGGGAAACTGAATTCAGACAAGAGAATGGTACATCGAATCGTCTTCTTTCTTTAATAATCTAATGAAACGTCAGAGCTTCCGCGCTACACGCGGAGGAAGGGGAACTTAGTTCAAACATTACGGATTAAGAGTCGAGAATGGTACATCAAATCGTCTTCTTTCTTCAATAATCTAATGAAACATCAGAGCTTCCGCGCTACGCGCGGAGGAAGGGGCACTTGATTCAAACAAGGATTAAGAGTCGAGAACGTTCCAACGAATCGTCTTCTTTCTCTAATAATTTAATGAAACGTCAAAGCTTCCGCGCTTCTCGGGGGAGGGGGGAAACTCCTCCCTCCCTGCACCCAACCCCCTAGGGAGCGTGCTACGCGCTTGGGGATGGGGTGCAACCTGCCACACGCTCCTACCTCTTGGTTGCTTTGATCCATTGCCGAAAATATTTTGGCACCTATCATCCCCCCCCCCCCCACCCCCAACCACGGATACAAATCGACACCCTTGATAGTTTGCATAAAAATACAGAACCAAACATATGATTTTCCCTAAATTTTCCCCATATTATATGAATTGCGCCAAAAATTGCATTTTCTCCACATTTCATAAACTATTTTCACTAAAGGCCCTTTCTCACTGAGTGGCAAATGCTTGCGAACGTAGCGAAATTAGGGTTTCGCCAGGGTTTGTAAAATGTTGCTAAATGTTGTAAGAAAGTTCGCAAACAGTTTTCATTGTCGCAAACAGTTTTTCTTGTAGACATTTTGAACATGTTCAAAATTTCTTTGCGAATTCACTTTTCCGCAAACATTTGCAGGCGTTTACATAACAGTCGTAAGCGTTTGCAAAACATTCGTAAGCCTTTGCAAACGGTTGTAAGACTGTGTCGCTCTTTGTAAATATGGATTTATTTTGCATTTTAGAGGTGAAAAGCGTGTAATTCTAAACTTTTGCCTGTATGATTTGATTATAAATGTTTTGTGAATTCTTCGTGGTCTGTTTTGGAAATTCTATGTACTTTTGAAATAAATGATGCTTTACACCAGTTTCTCTCATTGATTTTGAGAGTGTGTATGTGTGTCGGAGAGGGAGGGGGAAGGGGCGTTGGCATGACACGGAAACGGTAGTGGCGTTTGAGTTGCAGATTCTGATTGCTTTCACCAATGTCTTTCAATCTAGCACACACAAAATGAAGCAAGTGTACAAGTTTTGGACCAAACCGTCCAGTATCGCCATTAAATTAAAAATGGCTTTGTATCTATTGGATTAGCCCAAAGTTTTAAAGTGAAAATTATGGAGGGGGCGGGGCGGAGAGAAGTATAACCCGCTATCAGACTTTTTTTTTTTTTTTTTTTTTTTACTATAGTCTACCAAGAGATTTTAAAATGCCTTGTGAAGATTCTGTGACCTTTCTTTGTTTGCAATTTAGTTTATGAATATCGCTTTGCACAAGTTGCTCTAATGTTTTCCTAGGAAGGGGGAGGGGATCACAGTAACAGGAAGGGTGCAAATTCTGAACCCTACCATCCATTATCTTCATGATTGAGACTCAAATGATGACTCACCTCGATCCAGATCTCACTTTATGTATCATTTGATAGACAGCCTCCATCCTTTCTAAACACACATCATGTCCTACACAACATACTGCCCCATCCCAAAATTAGTCTTTATATTAATTGGGGGGGGGGGGGGGGCATTTCACTGGAGGGAAGGGGTAGGGTGAATATTCTGAACCACACTATGCACTATAAACATCATGTATGTCACTTGGAGCAGGTCCTTTTCTATGTATTATTTGACCTATATCCTAATTTGATTTCTGAGAACACAATATCGGTTGCTGGGCATACCGTTACCATAGCAACAAGGACTAAGGTAGATAGAACAATAAATTATAATGAAATTGCATCATCTGACATCATACTTCCTATTCAAGTATTCATTTGCGCGCTGATAGCATCTAAATCGCAATATATTCTATTTTTCACGCCACTATGTTACCGTTTGCTAAGGAGTTATTTGCCCTAAGCAACCAAATTTACCACTTTGGCTCAAATCAAATTATCAACTTTAGACCGCTATAACATATTTTTTGTTGAAAAACAATGAACTTGGAATTTAGATATGATATCAATTATGTTTTTAACAGTTTTTCAGCAAGTTTCAAGTCAGTAGTCATCATAATCTATTAATTATTGACCAATAGGTATTTTTGGAAAAAATTGTTAAAAATCATCTTTTTTTTTTGCTCGAAACTTTTATGCAAATCATCCCCAAGGTCTATTGAATGTTGTATCCTTTTGTATTTTTTTTTCTTTCATATGACACCTTACACATGGTAAAATGAGGTACTTTTAAAAAGTGATTCCAAGAATTGTACAACTGTACAGTAATACACCAGTTTACGGTTACATCAGTGCGCATGCGCAGACAGGCTGACCTCGGGTCATTGGCTTTGAAACAAAGCCAATGCCCTGAGGTCAGTGGTATATATGCGTAAATCGGATTGCGCCCATGCAAATGATGATGTGCGCGCACAACGCAGCGCGCAGGCAGTGATGTCATCATAATTTGCATGGGCGCAATCTTAATTTACGCATAAATCCTTGTTTACTCGCCAATTAAAATGGCGCCCCTAACCGTAAAATGGTGTATTATACATGGCGGCCATTTTTTAAAATGACCGCCATTTTGTCCGGCAGTATATTGTCAAGGTATTCCACCTATATTAAATTGTGCAAGACGGGCTCCGGCACACGCTGAGACCAAATGACCTTTTAAAACATTCCCTGTCTCAAAACCCCCCAAAAGTGTAATACTGTATATTTTGATGTGATTTAGCTCTTGCGCGGGGGTCTACGAACATGACCGATGAAGGGTTGTATACAACGGATAATCCTTGCCTGCCGATTCTTGTGAATGGTGAATTGATGCCTACAGTGCCAGTTCTAGATCAGCCCTCGTTTCCAGTCTCATTGAAGGGTATTAACCGTCATCTCGTTTGCAAGTTATCTGGTGAGTTTTAGGTTTATAATGATGATTATAACAATCATAATAATATGTCAGTCCAACTTGCAAACTTATTTAAAATGTCATAAATCATTGGAGTGAAGGGTAGGCACTGGAAAATTGAGACTCTTGAGCAATGAGATTTATTATAATAGTAAGAGCCTATTAAAGACTAAAATGTATGCATGTGTTGTATAAAATTGAGACCTTTCTGAGGTCAGAGAGTAGTCAATGTCGAAACATTTTCAGAAGACAGTAGAGATATTTTACTTCTACTTCTACTTCTATGGTGATACTCATCAACGCCTGTTCAGCATCTAGATGAGGGTAAATGAGGGTAAATGTAGATATGCATTAGTAAATAAAATATTGAACAAGCCAGTACAAAGGTTAGGAGTTAAGTATCATGATTATCTCTCTCTTTCTCCTCACCCCTCCCCTGTCTTTCTATTTTACTTTCACTTCCACTGAAGTAGAATATGCCAAAACGTGAAGAAACATCTGGTATTTGGCAGCCGCCGAGGTGTCAAAATCTAGTAATATGTGATGAATTTTCCAGTAAAATGTGTATGGAATTGTGACAGTTCTCCTTTTTGCCGTTTTATTTTTATTTCCCTGCGGGCTTTGTTAAACAATAACAAACAAGGAGAATAATTCTCATATGCAGTATGAGATGATAACCGTTTGGAGCTTGGTTTCCTTTTTTTCCAGTGTCTACATGGATTATAACAACAAATCACAGACATTAAAACAAACAAAAAATCTCTTTCTTATATCGATGAGGCAAATTCCTCATTTGTATGCTTGTCTGTTTATGTCTGTATTATTATGTAGTGCGATTTGTCAGTACTTGATGATTTATTACAAAAAAGGATTTTACCGTTAATATCTTTATATTGTTTTTCTGTAGCCCCGACTCCTTCAACTACATCAAGCCCTACAACTTTCGGTAAGCAATTTCCATTGCACTCGCTCCTCCCTTTTCTCTCTCTCTCTCTCTCTCTCTCTCACTCTATGTGTGTGTGTCTCTCTCTCTTTCTCTCTCTCTATTCCTCTCTCCCTCTCTCTCTCTCTATGTGTGTATGTGTGTCTCCCTCTCTCTTTCTTCCTCTCTCTTCTAAATCAGTTCTTCCATTTCCCCCCTTTTTTTTATTTCATGAATATTTCTGCACTTTTGTTTACTGTTGCTTCCATAGACCATTTAAAAAAAGTTTTAGACCAGTTTTGGAAACGCCCCCCCCCCTCTCAACAAATGAAATGGAAGCTCTAACTACCAATCATGTGAAAGAATATGTTTTGACTACTACGTGATGATACATAATTTGCCGGGAAACCGCCAAGTAATTGATTTATTTGGTTAATTATCATATCGAATCGGCCTGAATAGATATCGCGAATGCACTTCAACATTGAACATTTTGGCATATATTTCCGCTTTTTTTGCAAATTTAGGTTGAATTATTGTCATCTAAACCTCTGTAGGCAATATTTCAACAATATTGAGTGGATATTTTGCACCCAAAATCTTTGAACTGCAATTTACCACTACCGGTCTATATCTTTAATGTTAATTAAAGTCCATACACATTTTCATAATTTCAAAGTTTTTTTCTTCTCCGATATTGCATCAAGATTGTGTAAGCAACATTTGTTATCATGGAATTCATTATCATCATCTTCTTTATCATTATGTCATGGTAAATTTTGCCAAAGAACTTTATCCGCCCCTCAAGCAATGGGGAACTTTAATAGAGCTTCGCACCATTATGCCCTCAGTTTCATTTCTCACAATTATATTTGTATTTATCTTCTTTTATTAGTAGAGCCATTAATTGCCCGCTATACTAGCTTATACTTTCCAGTCATTTCCTCAAAGTATTTTGGACCGGAAAATTTCTCGCGTAAGGCTTCAATTGAATTTGCCTCAAACTAGATTATATTCTTTGAAAGCGATTGGAGACTTTGTATCTCATTGTGATATTCGCTATAACAGAACAGCATTATCATTATTAATACTTACTCTCTACAAACATGGATAAACAAAGGAGCTTCGCACTTCGAGATATAGGCTGGATCAGAAGGTGGATCGCCTACTAGCGGATGACATCATTGAACCAGTTCAATATTCGAACTGGGTGGCTCCAATAGTTCCTGTAGTAAAGGAGATGGTCGATCCGCATTTGTGGAGACTATATACAAAACCGCGATTAATAATTCAGCCGCGCGTTCCGACACTTACCAAATACCTCGAGTAGAGAAGCATCAGGAGCTGTTTGCAAGGCTCGCATCCGGGAAGCGCCTCACAAAACATGGACCTCTCGTATGACATCAGCACCCTCAGTGTTCCAGCGGACTATGGAATGGTTGCTGGCTGGCATCCCAGGCAGTCTACCTAGATGACCTTCTTATCACAGGAGAATCAATGGAGAGACACCTAAAGAACCTGTATGAAGCGGGTCTTGGACGCGTTCTTCACAGAGAAGGATTACGCTTATGACGAGGTGGATTACCTCGGCCATACTTTCACTGCGAATGGTCTTCGGATCATCCCAAGGGAGACCAGCAAGTGAATGCGGTCACCAAGGCACCAGAGCCGACAAGTGTGAGAGCTGAGATAGCTGCCCCCGAATTGCCGTGATCTATAGCTAGGCCGACATGACGCTCACCCCAGAATAGTTCGGATGAAGACAAGTGCGCGAGGATGCGAATGGTGGCCTCAAATCGACAAAGTTTTGGAGTAAAAAGTAAAATCTTGTGAAAAATGTCAAGCACAAAAATTCTCTTCCCTTTTTTGTTGTTCTTCTTGTGCTTTTTTTTTTTTTTTTGGGGGGGGGGGAGGGGGGGGGGAGGGGCTACACGCCTGGTAAGAGGGACCCCATTTAGGCACACTTCAAATTGCGTGCCCCCGCCCCTTTCCCGATTAAAAAAGACATCTTTTTATAATATCTTCCCCCTTTTTATCTTTTCTGTCTCATTATTCTCCTTTCCCCCGTTACTCTTCTCCGTCTATCCCCCCTTTTTTTCCTTTTTTTTTTTTACTTTTTCGCCTTTTCTTCTTCTTTCTCTTCCCTTTTCTTTCTTTTCCTCCTCCTTTTTCTTTCCTCCACCTTTTCTCCTTTCCTCCCCTTTTGTTTTTTCCCCTTCCCCCTTTCCCCCTTTTTTAACTAGGGGGGGGGCACGTACCCCTGTGCCCCCTGAATCTGCCACTGGAATAGTTGTTTAGATTCACAGTTTCCTGCGTTCTGATTGGCCGGCTGGATAGACGTAGAGTTGTATAGCTGTAGCATGCTTGGCCCGCCATATACCCCGCCATATTTACCTCGACTTACTCTTAACACGACCTTTACCCTAGGGTAACCTTTCTCCTTATGAACAAGACTAGTGTCATAGTTCTGTTTCAGCTCATTTATATACGTTTTATCTTCTTTTCACCTTTTTATTTTAGAATCGACTGCAAAGATCTTTGTGATAAATGAAGACGGGATTTTTGTTGCAGATCTACAAGCTGACTTAGACTTCACTTCTATACCATCCACTAAATATCCCTTTACTATTACCTATGACTCCGTGGAGAAGAAGATCTACTGGACTGACCGGACTGATAAACGAATTTATCGTGCAGATGAGGATGGAGGAAACAGAGAGGTGGTCACATTTGAAGGCACCAATGGTATGGTGTAGAAAATATCCCTATACAGTGCGTCCCAGACAAATTGAAACCGGGAATTATCGATGTTTTATCATAACTTAATCACAATTAAAATCAATAAATGACACATATTTGTAAAGCTTAGATCCCCCTCTTTCATTTGATGCAACGCATGATTGATTAAAAACAATTTGAAGAGAGGAAACCAAAAAGTCATTTGGCGGGCGGTATCTAAATGCACAAAGAGGATGAAAGACTTGATGCATGGCTGATCGACAACGAAACGGAGTTAAGTCTTTTGTCAACTCCGTTTGATGCTACGGGAGGCAGCCAGTAAAAACGAGCTCGTTTAATGAAATTATGGAAATGCAAACATTACTTTAAACAAACAAAACTTTGTTATTCCTCGCTCATTCTTCCTGATTGAGGTGTCATATAAAAGGCCAGGAATTGACCTTTCTAGATATGTGATTCTCTCCCCCCCCCCCTAACAAAAAAAAAAATATCAAGATGTTTTATTTTCATAGGTTTTTATTCATTTCTCTCATATTAATTGTACATAATTTATAACATTGTATACAAACTAACAAAATAATTTCACATAGGTCTAAATAAATTTGCAAGTGAACTTTTACATTAACATACAAGGTTACAACTAAAGTTACACATTTACAGATGAAAATATTCCCATAAACAAAATCATATTTTCACATTAAAAAAAAAAACGCAAAAAAAGTTTGAACTATTTTCTCGACCAGTTTGCTAATAAAACTCAAATTATTTATTTTCTTTTCCACAATATTTTTTTTCCCTCTTAATTTCCTTTAGCACCAGAAGGAATTGCGATCGCTGAATCATCTCGCATGCTGTACAGCACCAGATTCGTATCCTCCGGGAAAATACATATAACATCTCTGGATATTGGACAAGGTATCGCATTTCCAAGGAATGAATCGATTTTTGTTACTGGAGTTTTCGCTTCTCCCACCTTAGTGGTGGATGAAGAACAGGGGTAAGTTTAATCACTCAATCATACTGATGGTTCAGAAGGAGAGGTGGGGGTTGTTAATTGACCCACCGAGACCCTACCAAATAGTACCCCTAATATACATGCAAGTCAATTAAAAATACCCTGCTGTTTTGCATTAACTGTTTACATGATTTATCAAAAAATAATAATAATGATAATAAAAATATTCATGATTAATAATAGAATAAGGCAAGTACATGGAATTGCGAGGCTTTCCCTATTATGTACGATTGTTGATACTGATACTTAAGAGGCCATTTTTAATTGCGCCACGGCAATACTTTTAATTAAAAAAAGAAAAATAATAATAATAATTTAGGGAGTTCACACCAGGTTTACTCAAAAAAGAATGCAGGGAACCTTTCATTTCTATTAATAGTCATTCATATGACAGGATAACGTCATGACAATTTTTAGATTTTCTTGATGTTGATACGAATTTTCAGGACACTCTTGATTTTTCAGATTCTTGTATTGGTCAACGGGTGGTTTCGACAATATCGTACGCAAACTTCTCAATGGATCTGGAGGCACGGAGACTGTATACTGTAGCACCACTCGACACAATTACTACATGATGAGCATTGATCTCAGCCGTACGTATTTCATATTTAGAAGAGTTCCGTGAAATGACATGTCATTCCAGATAAATGAATGGAAATTAAACAAGACAGTTAATCTGCATGGCTCCTCTCCACCCAGGTGTGAATGTCTGCCTTGTATGATTCGAACGTCATTATGCTTGGATCAGTATTTAGGTGACTAATTTAAACACCTTTATCACGGAGTGGAGAATGTGCACTGTATTGTGCAGAATGATGATAGAATCCAAAAACCGGGGTAATAATAATAATACTGTAAGCGCTTTGGTTAAAGGAACAGTTGAATACTTGTTAAATTCCGCAAATGCCTTCAAAGTGCATGGCTATTGCTTTTATTCTTATTTATGACATTTCTAGTGCCCTTGTAGGACCTAAAATTGCTATGAAGGGAATTTTAGACCCCAAAATGTGTGAAATTTAGATTAAATCCGATCATACCAATTCAGCTCCACTTAAAAAAAAAAAAATTACCTAATAATAATCACAATACACGGGCCGACTGGTTGTGCGTATTATAGCCAACACAAAAGACAACAACAAAAAGCCAGTATTGGCAACGGCTACAATAAAACGTATAACCACACACAAAGATGATTTTGTCACTGAAATAGTATGCTTTTTTTTCTCCAAATTTGACACCCAGTTTTTCATTACCTCACAAAAATTATACTGTGTGGCGCCCTCTATACCGAAACCCATGTTTACCTTATATTGTTTGTAAAGCGCTTAATAGGAACGGGTATTATCATAACTGATTTGTTTTATACTACAAATTATCATCATTCTTTTTGTATCATCGAAATATCATTTAGGTTACAAACATTGTAACAATTCTCAAATATTAAGGCATTTTAAAACCTAGACAAAGAGATGAATTTGATGAAGGAATGATAAATGATACATGGGGAAACCAAGAGTTTTTTTTGATAGGGTATTATACTGTTATATACAATGCATTGGTATGGTTGGAAAGAGAGTTTATGTATAGCGCTAATGTCTGTCAGACTTGACACCCCTGGCGCTCCACAATTATTATACCTACATTGACCTTCGCCATACGTAGTGCCTGTTCAGAAGGGTCATTTCAGATGGATGGAAAAGTTTATCATGAAGACCTTTATATTTATCATGAAAAGATAATCATGTTGCACTTTATTACCATGTCACGATATTCCCTTCATTCAATACTAGAAACATGACTATGGTGATATGATATAATCAGATAACAGACATTGTAATGATCACCCATATTACCTATATTTTTTTGAATAGTCGCAGGGAAACAGTGTTGACAGTGGCAGATTTAACAATTTAAATATTTAGAAATATGAATGATGCCATGGCCTTCTTAGTGCCGATTTAACAGTCTAGTTGATGTCATGGGCTTGCAAAAAGAAGCAAACTATAAACTCTATGAAAATTAAATGAAAATTAATTGAAATGATCATTGTATAATACGCCACATAAACACACACACTTAGTTTGTCTTAATTATCTTCTCAGACTATGATTTTTTAATCCACATTGATTGTTGTGTGTTTGTCATGGTTTAAAAAAAAATTACATTCGAATAATATTTTGTCTTGTTTCCTTTTAAGATTTGCTCATTTTCTATGTTTTTGGCAGGAGATCCACGACGCATATTTTACCTAGACGATGTTGACGAACGAGCTTTCTACATGGACGTAAACCAACCTCCCACAATGACTCACGAGCTCACCGACTACATGCATGACACTGACTTCGGTGAAGAAGAGCAGCGAAGAATCCCGATAGATATGAGCTACTTCAATGGCGCCCTCTACTGGATCATGAGAGTCGGACACGTGGGCCATATCGCTGTCATGACTGATTACGATCAAAGCAACCGATCATTCGACTTGAATAAACCCCTTGAGATTGACGAACACTCTAGAATGCTCATCATTAATGCAAGTCCATGACCAACATTTGACAGAAAAGAGCCCGGCTGTATATTGTCATTTGATTTAGTGTTGTCAACATTGTCATTTATGACGTGGCAAACCACCGCGAAAAAAAAACCGCCGCGTTTTTTGTTGTTGGGTTTTTTCTTTGTTTAATAGGGTTTTGGTTTCTTTAATGTGTAAACGAATGGCAACAAAGGTCCTACGCCTATCACTGAACTCTGTGTTATAAGGTACAGAAATATGCAGCGTATTACACTTCATCATTACGTCATCATAACAAAAAAAAACACCGCCGCAGTTTTGCCACGTCATCTGAACGAGGCTTTAAGAGACAAGGGGGGAGGGGGGGGGGGTCGACTATAAAACAGAGTGTGCCTACAAATTATAGACATTTGACGTAATAAATGTTGCTAGTAGAATACTTATATTTCGGGCCTTTAGAATCTCCTACTCTCCATCACTGTGGGTATGCCAGCCTTGCCCCACTGTAGCTACACTTATGTCAACGGGCACTCGATCATCTTAAAGCCACACTGTACTACTTTTAGCTACTTGCTCCCTCTATATAGAAACCAATGCCTAATCGGTGACCATTGGTCCCCCATGATCTTCTTTTTCTTATGATAATTGAGAGCTGATTTGATGAGATAACCACCTGTCCAGTGACCTTGCAGGGTGGTCTTATCCCTCCTATAAACTAGTACAGATAAGCTTTTAAAGGGAAAATGCTCGAACGTTACAGTTTAGCGTATATCTTCAGATCGGCGAGGAAGTGCTTGTTTGCAATCGCCTAAAACCAAAAGGTGATTATTTGCTTTATATTCCACATCATACAGTGCATACAGTGCATACAGTACGTACGTATACGCAGCTTGTACAAGAAAGTGCGTTGCACTGTGTAGATAGTACTTCGCTCTTCAGTGAAAGTGCGTTGCACTGTGTAGACATATAAATACACAGTGCACCGAACTTTTCTTCCCCAATTGATGATGATCTTTCATCACGTGATTTATTTTTTGACCAATCGTAGTGCAAGATTCTTTGTATGCGGAATATAATCATATATAATACTTGTAAATAATATTTAAGTATATTGCTAACTTATTTTCTTCAAATTTGTTGTTCTTATGTGTTATTTACGATAACGAAGATTTATTCTTCTGATATAGTTAACTGTGTAAACACAGATATGTCTTCAGCTGTGCATTTAGTGTTTTCAGTGGGATTCTTTTATACTTCTTTCAGAGAGTGTATATATATATATATATAAACGTATATATATATATATATATATATATATATATGTACATGTATACATATTATAACCGTATGTATCATGTAGAGCGCAAACTAGGTATCTGTATTTGAAATATTATTTAACCACAATGAGCAGAATTGGTTTCCTAGTCGTCGGATAAATAAATACAGATGATTGGTTACGTTATGGTGATCATGGTGATATTATAGACCTTTGTCTGTTCAGCATTGGTCAACCTTAATTACATTTAGAAATATGACTTTTCAGATTTTAAATATTTGCATTTTGTTGCAAAAGGTAACATGATAGCATTCACTTCTCCTCTGCTGTTGCTTGCTGTAACTGAGATGACATTAAAATGCACGTGATACACTTTAAAAATCCAGAATCCATAGTGACGACTGTCATGATATGGCTAATGATATGGTAGGCAAAGTGATGTGTATCAATTATTCAACAACAATTTCCGCCATTCAAGGCCAATATGTAATGCCAAAATGCAATGACAAAAAGAGAGGAAGAAAAAAAAAGAAGAAAATTGCCTCAATAGTTGACGACGTCACTATATCGTTGTAACAAAATAAATTGTACTGTTTTGTAATGAAAAGCCACTTCAATATCTATCTATTTCTATCAATAACTAATTAATATCTCAACTGGAAGTGAACAGGAAGAAACAAAGTAGTATATATGTTTACAAACTTTGTACTTCAAAGAAGTATGATTCACATATATGTTGAGTAAAAGCTATGCCTCACTTTGTCATTTAGTCAAAACATTACATACCGGTGACCTGGTCAAAGGTCATACAAATCCAAATAGAGAGTGTAACCGGTATATAAAGGGGGCAGAGGTATTTTTTTCACTCCTGCAATGTACCCTCTTCATGGGGCAGGCAGAGAGGTCGCCTCTTCAAGCCTTTGGAGTTACATTAGGTAAGAAGATTATCCTTTAGTCAAGTTTGATAATTAATTAGTGAGATAATTATTATTTTTGTATATAAATGTATTCTGACGTTAGTTTATACCTTTGTTGTTGTTCTGAATGATAAGTACTGTTGTGCTGGATGATTATGCCGTTTGTAAGGTGTGGCATATGATTGTTATAAATACATAATAAATAATATGGTTATTTATATAGCGCCGGTATCCGCCAGGTTCTGACGCTCATGGGCGCTTTACACACATTGCCCTGGTCGTAGCCGAGCTGCCAAAGTAACTAGCGCTCAAGCATATCAGGTACCCATTTACACCTGGGTTTATACCATGTAATTGTTCAATACATTTGAAGTTGAACTTGATATTTTCTGTTTAATCATCAAAAGGTAGATTTCTTTAGTGAGTTAAGCATTTGATTCTGATTTAGTATTAGTATTTTGAGATGATAAGAATGTTGCAATGTTATCTGTTCTGTCACTTTTAATATTCAGGAGTTGTAATTGTATAACGTGTTGTCGAGGTAAACTCTGGATAATCATATCTGGTGGAACAGTTGTAAATTATGCTTTAAGAGATAATGGTTTGTGGCGATTATAGTCACATTCAATCGTCATGAGTTTTTGTACTAATTATTATTCCTTTAGGTGTTGCAAAACAACATGTAAGA